TTGTTTGATACTCCCATACTTACTAGATTTGTTTACCAGTCTCATGAACAATAAATTCTCAGGCTCATTAACGATCATTAAGACAAAAGAACGTATCATAATGATGTATATCCTATTTGTACTATTATACGTACCGAGTAATGTTATACTCTCTTAGAAATAGATAAGATAATGTACACTGTACAAGGGTCGTGGTGAGCATGCACTCATTAGTGATAAATATCTTAATATAAAAACCCCTCTACCCTTGAGACAGTCAGTTCTTCTGCAGTTCTTCAATGACCATCGTCATAAGTGGTTGTTATATATTATAATAAAGTGTGTTCGTGAATAACGAGTAATTCCTTACCAGCACCCATCTGACATCATCGGCTCACAGTACGCGCGCGCTTTACATAATCACCAATCCAATCCATAACTTCGTCAATAAATATTTTAGCAAAAAAAACAAGTCATATTAAAAATAAATTATGTACAAGTTACGTTACGTGGATTCATTTATACATTTTTCTTTTCTTGGGAAAAGCAAAGCCATGAAGACATTGTCTTCAATTTTTTTATTTTTTTTACATTAGAATGTGGTAGTAAGTATGTAACCAAAGGGGGGAGGGGGGCAAGTAGTTCATGAGTTATTATTATTTATTATTCAGGTTTATAGTGCAACTCAAAATAAACATAATTTACTGCAAAAATGATCCTCGATACCTGTAGGGCGAACACGACGCCATATTTGCTGTTGCTGTCGTGCCAATTTCGGTTAAGTTCAAGGAAGTTATGTACCTAACGGTAAACTTGGTTAGGTAACCAATTTTTATTATTATCTGGGGTCTGGTTGACATCAGTGACAGTTACATTTTATTTTAACTTTTTTATTCCATTGGTGAGTCTTATGTCTTAATGAACTGTAGTCACACTACGCTACGATTACAGCAAGACTACTATCGTAGAGTCTACGGCGTAGCTTCATCTGCATATTACATTCAAATTATGTATTTTTCCATAGTGCTGAAGCTAACGGTAAAACTGATAATATTGTCTAATATGTTTAATATTAAAGATTACCAAACAAGCGTATGGCCCGCCTGATGGTAAGCGGCCACCTATAGACGCTTGCAATACCAAAAATATCACTCGCACTGTTACATACCCTGACCATTGGGTCAGGGTAGGGCATTGCCCCTACCCTGTGGAGCCCTGAAACCTTACTCATCGACTGTGTTTCAGTAAATACAACACCACCGAAAGTGTTATTTTACTGTTATCTTACTTCACAAAGACTACGGCGATATAATATCAACATTTGGATGGTGTTTGTTCCTGTTTAGTCTGGCACAATGCCGATGGCTGTAGGGTCTTTTATTCTGCCACATTACAGCCATTACATAACTGTATAACATTATCGCTACTGATCTCTAGTAACACTCGTGAGACACTTACTTACTCTCAATGTTCATTCAGCTAATTAGCTGCGTCTACATACTTTTCAAAAATATAACTGAGAAATTGAATCCAATTACTGAGCCATATGTGGCTATCAATAAATTGATAACCGATTTCTCTTTTAAATATTTTATTACTGAGATTCAAGGGGAATATTTTACACAAGGCCCCACATAAAAACCTCGCAAAAATAAAATTTTAAGACGATTTAAATTGTGAACAGTTTTTAGGTACCTAACTCTTATGAATATTCGTTTGCTTAATAAGTACCTACTATGTATGGCAATAATCATGGAATTATACTAAAAATAGTTCGCGACTACGACGGCAAATATATTTTGTAAGAACTTTTTGTAGAGTCGGAAAACTGCATTTTTTTGTTTGGGTCGTCTGCCAAAGCTACAAGTGGGGGGGGGGGGGGGGGGTGAGGCGGTGCTGTAGAGCTTAGTGCACGTATAACTAGTTATCTATACCACAGTTGTGCCACCTGAAGTGGAGTTCTGCACTTATTAGTCCAGTTGGGGTGTGAGATCTATCGCGTAATATCATTATGGAAATATAATTTGGAGAGAGGAAGGCATAGCGGATTTTCCGCTCGAATTGGAGCACTGTTTGGAGAAGTAACCTAGAGGTTACCTTTCAGAAGACCAGAGAAAAATGTTTCTGTCGGGTCTCCATGAGGTAGGGGATTTGGTCAGAGTAGGTAACGGCGCTAGTTATAGTTTGTTTCGCAAGTGTGTACACGCTATGGTAGCCGCTTACCATTAGGTGGGCCATACACTATTTGCCACCCTTTTGATATAAAAATATAGGTAAATAAATATTTCTATTACCTACATTTCACAGAGAATCATTGTCATCGGCTTTTTAATGCCCCCGTTGCTGACAGGACACATTGACCACTCGGGCCCAGTACAGACTGCAGATGTTGCCAAAGCACGGAGGAAATTGAGGCGATTTTTCATTGGTTCCCCTTCCTATGACCGACTGTTAGGAAAGTTGCTTAATTACCTCGATCTCAGATCCAATCTACTATCCACGAGTTACTTCGTGATCATGGCGATCGCAACAATGCCAAAATATCGGGGAATCAAAAAAGACAAGGTACACAGTAGCAATCCCGCTAATATATATATTTAATGTTAGTGACCAGAAAAGTTTAAAACATTATACTTATAGTTTGCTTATGTTATTTTCCCAACTAGTGACCCATCCTCACTTTATTTTACAGTTTTATCTATACCTAATCTATGAGACTAAATGCGCATCGTTATTATCTGGAACATGGCGCATAACACCATAATTTTCTCTTTCAGCATTTCAGCAGGTTAACATCCTCACCCATGATGTCTTGACTGCATTTGTAAGAAATTTTTGCGTCATTGTACATCGTTGTTTTTACGATGTGTCGTCGTACCTATGTTGGCTCTTGGGTCTTAAGGCGAGGTTACACAGTGCGAGCTGCTGATGTGACAGTCAACAGCTACTGTACCCCTGTACTTGCATGGCAGTAGCTCGACTCGTCTCACCCTGTCACACAAGTGCGAGCTGCTGATATGAAAGTAGACAGCTACTGCATCTCTGTGCTGACCTTCGGAAGTCTATCCATTGATCACGAGCGTACGAGCAACTGTCTGTATGCAAAGATGTGCAAGCCGACGTCCGAGTAGCGTGCGAGATGCTGCTTGTGCTTGGTAGTGGAAAGCAAGTGGCGAGTAAAATTAAAAAAAAACATTAGTGGTAACTCGGATGTGAGCTACCAACCGACTCGCATATGGCAGTAACTCCTATGATGCCGTTATACAATGCGAGTAGGTCTACTACAGTAACTGACTAGGCCAGCTCGCACTGTGTAACCTAGGCATTAGTTGTAGTAGCGTGTGCCACGATCGTTTGAAAGAGGCAGTTCGATACCACCTCGCCTGAGCCGAGGACGACCGTCGGGTAGGAGGCGGCAGGCGGGTCGGGTGGACGTGATTAATGGGCCAATAATCCGCCTGCTGCCCCCGAGTTTCACGAAGCCGAATTGGTGCACGGTCAAAAGGTTCATTGACTGACGAACGGCCGCAAGACGATGTTTTCAGCGTATCGTCACGAAACCACCAAGCTTGTGTATAATAAAGAATGATGGAGTGCTTAATATTTTATAAAAGTAACAGTTGCGAGTAAAGATGCTTGATGATGGTAAAGAGTAACAACTTGCCAAAATTTTGTCTTAGGTATCCGCTGTAAAGGCTGTAGTGCTATTTATGAATACAAAATTCTCGTGTCAAAATATTAGTTACCATACTTCTTCGAAACGGCTTGACCGATTTTTATGAAATTTTATATAAATATTCAGTAGGTCTGAGAATTAGCTACTATCAATTTTCATACTCCTAAGTGATAAATAAGGTTTATCCACCTCCTAACAATTTATTTTTATTTTTGGGACAAATCTTATTTTTTTATGGTTCGTTAGTAAAAAATACATACAACCCTTAATTTACACCCACCACCAGCCCCTATTTTTATGGCGGTACGCAGTTCGCTGGGTCAGCTAGTAATACTATAACAATCTCTTTAATAGTTATTTATGCACTTGTAGGTATAATGTCGGGTATTAAAACAGGAATGTGGGTATCACATGAGTTTTTATTACCAAATCATAAGAGTAGCATACAAAACTTTATACATCCATGATATGAATCCTCTATAATAGATTCTGAAACCACGGAGCGTTCTAAGAACTTAAAATTTTGATGTCCACCAAGTACTACGAATGACTTCGGTGTATTGATTCATGTTAAATTGGTTAATTTTTGAGTAGATCTAGCCTCAGGTTTCGATTAACATTAATGTAAAAGAATAAGCGATTAATTTCAATTAATTTTAGTAATCCTACTTGGACTTTGTCTAACTGGCTTGATAATTCCTAGATAAGCCCGGGTGAACTTTGGTTTACTAACGCTTCAAGGATTTCCCTTAACTAAACTAATAACTTAACATGCTCTCCTTAATAAAAAAATTATATGTATAAGTACAACAATTAGGTACTGATATTTAACTTATTTATTTTGTATTTCCTGCAAAAAGTATTCTTGCAAAATATACAGCATTGGTTATAAAAACGAATATATTATTATCGTATATTACTAAGTTACCTTTGAAGTGGGTATAATATGTTGGATCATTCGCTATTCAAACGGAGCTTATTCAATGGATCCCTCTGAGGTCTTATTTAGCAGGTCGGGTTTGTAAGCAACATGACGAGGCGGAGTCGCCGTCAAGAGGCGAGCCTTAGCTATAATGCCCAATTCACGATCAAGATGTTAAACCACGAGCTTTTGCTGACGTTACAGCGAATTGAATAAGTCGTTTATGAATAGGTTTACGCATTATTGGGTACTGTTGGATATTTATACCAATAAGTACCTAATTCTCGTAGGCGTTTTTGAACGTTTACATGTTGGCAATTTACTAGTAAAGTTATCTATTCAATTTAATTTGAAAAGCGTTATGTCTGAAACTCAAAGAAAACCTTTGATGTGAATGTCAAACCTCAATGATTACGTATTCAGCTACAATTTTCCTGCAAACGTTATTATCGCTCCATAGATGCGCATCAAAATCATCGCGTGGAAAATATCCAGAGCGCGAGAACGACCCCGTGTCCCGACATTCGTTCCGACGTTAATTCCAGCCGCATTTGTTCCATTACATTTCCGACACAAAGTAGATACGCGTTTGCCGAATTGACTAGGTGGATGCGACCAGGCGAGCGGTGAACGACGGCGACGCATAGGGCGAAGCGCACAAGCGCGACAAGGACGCAACATCAAAAGTGAGAAAGATGTATTCAGAAGTGAAATAGTCTGCTGGCTGAGCACATCATCATTAACGAGCCAGAGAGGGCGGAGGGCAGCGAAGAGGCAGAGGGGGCGCGCCAGGTGGGCCCACTCCCACGGCCCGCCACACCTGCGCGCGATATTGCTCCTTACCGCACCGGCGTCTAGAGAGCACATCGCTTTAAATCCTCGACTGAGAGGACCGACCTCGAGTAATATTTTCGAGTGCACCGACATAAATATGAGAAATATCCAGGTTTTTATTCATCTTCCACCCCGCGCTCGCTGGACGGACAAACACTCTTCTATAATAGACATCCAATAATGTTGAGACGACAATTCAACATTCAACACACCTCCAAATAGTTGATGTATCGTGAAAAGAGGTTTGATAAATTAACAACATTAAAAAGCTCTACTGAGATTCAAGGTTAATATTTTCGAAAGGTTTCATAAAAGGCTCGCAAAGTTAAAATTTTAAGATAATTTAAATTGTGAACAGGCCATAACGGAACGAATTTCATCTTCAAAAAGTTGCCGGAAAGTTACCGGCAGCGGTTTTTGAACGAGTCCGTGTCGCGGAACAAGTTTGGAGTGCACGCTCGCTTTATTTCACCACAATAAATAACTTTGTTTTGTACATCACAAAGTTTATAGAACTCGAGAGGCTATGCTGCATCGAAGGTGCTTTCTTTATTTAAATGAGTCTATTTCTAAAGATATTAAACAAAGTCTAGGTGATTTTCATAGTGACGACGAAGAATTCGATATCTATACGTTGTACGGTAAGTAGTATTTTTATTATGCTGTTGATTATGAATTAAAATATTTTTTTCCTCAGTAATATTATGGGTGATGGGTGACCAACTAGTTACTATGCTTCTCTTTTTTAGGGTTCCGTAGTCAGTCCTAACAAGGAAGCCTTTATAGTTTCGTCATGTCCGTCTGTCCGTGCCCAGTTTTGCTTGGAGACTATTAGCACTAGAGAGCCGTAATTTTGTAGAGATATGTATATCGATCACTTCGACAAAACGATAGAATAAAATTTTGTGTTTTTTTTTTATGGTAGGTTACTACATAACCTGGGGATGATTTTTCTTTCATCATCTACCCTTTTGTATGGGATATCGTTGAATCGGTCCTTTAAAAATACTTAGAGGTTCCTAAGACTTTTTTTCGATTTAGGGATCTGTGCGAAATATTGAACTTTTAAGTGCTAATTTTTGTTCGAGTAACGTCCGTCCCCCTCTAAGTAAACTATTGGCTTGATAAACCTGGGAAAATTCATGCTAATAGTGCTTTTAATGAACTTTTAAAGGACACTATAACAGTTAAGGTAGTATTTGTTAGTTTAAGAGTAATAGTCGTTCAAGTTTGTTTAAAGAAAATTTCTTACCTATTGAAAAATCCTTAGAAGAAATGATAAATAGTGAAATAGATGAAGATATTGTAGCGTAAACAAAACTTGCATTGCAACAAAATTTAAATAAAACTATTGAAAAACCACAACAAATATCAATAGTTCCACAACGCTACCGCGAGTACCACCGACAACGGCTTCTGAGTCGCTCTAATGTTATGTTTTTGTAAAAAGTAGATACTCGTAAGCGCTTGAAAAGATCGCCAGAGGATGATCTCTTCAGATGAAGCTTTGCCGCTCCCCTGCCTGGGAGAGTAAAAAAAATCGGCAGGAATCGGTAAATTACCAAAGGGGATAAGTCAGCATTTTCGCGATATGGGAATTTTAATACAGTTTTAATAATTTTGCATTGATCTATAATATTATTCAAGAAGAAGATTAAGTCAGTTCATTTATAGTGTAATACAGGCGATCATTATTTTCGTTTGTTTACGAAGAGGAATAAGTCACTGACTTATTTCTTTTTATGTGTCAATAATGTTGCCATTGCCAGTGTAGTTACACTGGCAACATTATATTTTTTGACGTTCAGCTGTCAAACATATACTAAGTTACGTACTAACGTAACTAAGATACAGAACGATTCTGTAAAATTATCCACCGCTTTCCAGTCCGAGTACATTATTTTCTACCAAATATGCAACGCACATAATAAATTTACAGTATCTATGATAGAAACTGATGATTTCAAAAATTGGTGGGGCAAATTTTACAAGCGCGATACAATCTCTTTAGAGAGTCGATCGAGGAATATTCCACATTCTAATAAGCAACATTTTCTTATTTACAAGTTTATGAAATTCGAGTATTCCTCACGAATGAAAGGTTGTGTAATAACGAGGCCATTAATTGGAAATACTATCGGAGTCGACACATTTGATATGAGAAAAAGAAAAATACAAAATGTAACACTTCCATCGGTGAAAGCTGATAGGTTTGTGGCCATTAAAAGGAATAAAATAGAAGACTTCAAGCGTACTCTGCATTATATTCCAGCTGAAAAAAGGGCTACTATGAAAATATAATACGAAATTGGCCTAATTGTTAATAAAAACATAATTTTATGACTGCAGTGTTTATTTTCTACCCCAAAAATCACAATTAGTATCTAAAGAGAATAAGTCAAGCAACTTCAAATGACCATATTCCATTAAAAAAAAAGAGAAATATAAAGAAAATATAACTAGAAAAAATTCCACGCGGACCAGGCAGCAGACGGGACTCGAACCCGCACCCTTCGCAATCCGGGCGAATGCACTGACCAATTATGCTACCGCGGCCCTCACGGACCGCGTCGAAATCATTCTAGCTATTTTTAAGCTGCAAGGCAGCGCCATCTTTTCGCATTATAGGTAACAAGTTTGAGATGCAGTTTGAGTTTGATTTAACTATTTTAGTTGAGATACATATATTGATATGTATTGGTTTTTCTAATTTCCGATATAGAAAATAAAGACTCCTGCTCATATATTACGTACGGAACCCTACACTACGCGTGGCACAACACGCACTTGGCCGGTTTTTAATCGATGGTTGCGACTGCATCTGTTCATCTGCTGTCGTTAGCACATACCAATCCGCACTAGGTCTACGTGATAGGTACGGTTTGGGCCGCTCTATGTGTTCCGTCCAAACGGCAGGTTTTATGTGACTCAGTTGTTGGTATCGGCTAGGCCATAACAGGTTACTGATGATAAAAATGCAAGTGCGCAGTTATTCAAAAGTGATATCTATGGCTTGGGTAAGTTGTACGTCAGTCATAAATGAAATACAAAGCAATCAACACTAAATCGCTACTAATCCTCTCACGTGTAATGCAATTAACCCTCCACTGCACCGGTAATGAAATTAATTACGAATCGCGCAAACTTGAGAAAAAAATAACAACCCCAAACCAGATGTAACAGTTTATCCCATTAAACCATTTTATTTTTATTCACTATGACAGTGCAATAATTTGTTCACGCACAACATTAAAATGAAATTAGATGGGCGAGATTCACCCCCGGGGGCGAGGGATGGATCACTTGCTCTGTCAAAATATAGGTAATATTTTAGTTGGCCGTCAGAGCTTGTAAACATGGAAGCGGCGAATAAATCACATAATCGGATCGAGACAGGGTTGTATTTAAGTATTTTATTTTAGGGTTTTACTGATTTCATAAATTTTATCATACGACAGTCAACATTAGACCCAATGTTAAACCTACTTGGTTTTCACTGTAAACAGCCTAATCGTTCTTCAGAAAAACGACTGTTTCATAATAAATTAAAATGTGTGTCACTTCACTTACACTCTATTTTTGGATAGAATGCCACTAAGTATTAATAAACTTTGTAAGAACATTAAGTCTGTTATTTTTACCTGCAAATAACTAGTAATAAATGAAAAATAAATATCATACCGAACTTGCTTGGTCATCTGATCGTACAGAGCAGAGTTAATTTGTAGTGCAAAGCCTTTTTAGACATGATTAAATTAAAGATTGCTTTTATAAAACCTTAGTATTTTAAAAAAACATAACCTGCGACCCGCCTCAGACCATGGGGTAGACAAGAAAAAATTAACATCCCCTTTTTAAGGGTAGGTGCCTGCAAAAATCGTTTAAGTATATTTATTTTTTTACCACTGGTTGCGTGACGGAATCACCGTAGCAAATTAAACAGCTTTCTTGTAAGCTACTAAAAATTCCGGAACTAAGTTACCTTACGGTTTCTTGTTGACTCGGAACCTTAAAAAAAGGAAAATCTTCAATACTCGATTTCCGTGATAAATGAACTATTTACATACCCAAAACTTTGTAGATACATAATCCTCGGAGCATATAACCGACTCCCATTGACCGGATTGTTTCCTACACAAGATGCAGCGTATTATCCCAGCTCACCTGATATTAAATTTATGCGTAGTCCAGTCAAGAAGATAGTTCTTAGGAAGAAAATTGTAAGTACTGCTTCAGTCATCCTCACCTTGACGATATGAGCCTAATCTCCTAGTTTTACCATTTTACTATTTTTCATATACCTATTAAACCACAAATAAGTTTTAATTTATGCATACAGAAAGAGTTTTGTAGCTATGTAATAATGTCATTTCTATTCGTAAACTAAAATTCATTGTAACCGGGAACTTACTTAGTAACAGAAAGATAGTGTAATTTAGGTCTGCTGTAAAATTCCGTCTCGATAAGCGAGAAATCCGCTGTGCCCACAAGTTATTAAAGTTACTTCTATGTGGTTATTTTTGTTTACATGACAAGGTATTTTATTTCTCATGATGCATACTGAACAAATGCCTCCATAATATATTTGATGTCCTCGGCGATTAAAATTCAATTGAACACCCTTTATTTCCGACTCCCCTCGTCCTACGGGAGTAGTCAGGGATGGAATAGGTGTCGAACACGTGTTAGTGATCCTAAACACCGCGCCAAGAGCTGCGATCTATTCAATTAGCTACGGTCTCGAGGAGCATAGCACGCAACAGAGGGTTAACGCAAAAATCAATTTATTACGTGGTGTAGTGAAAGCATAATTTTAACACGCATATACGCCACGGACACTTATCTTTAGAGGTACATTTGTATATTAATGAGTGATTCTAATTTAATAAAGATTTTCATTTTGTTTTTAAACAGATCCGAATGGGATTGAATAACAGGTGGAATAACCATAAAACGCGGTAGAGATCCCAATCATTCTAATTTCTCCTTTTATCGCAAAAGAACAGAAAGGTAAGCACACCCCGTGAAATCAA